ACTGATCGCTGTCCCCAATGAGAACTTCTTGTTTGGAGACTCAAGTCGTAAATCCTGGAAAATTCACTAGTACTCGCGAAAAAGTAAATGACCACTCGGGCGGCTTCTGAATTTGTCATGCAAATATAACTAAGCGCAAGCAGGCAGTGCAAGGCCCAGCACAGCTGCCCCAGGTATTTGGAACTTTCAAAGTAATATTACTGGCATGGAATACCCAACACTGGCGCCTGTTTGGTCTTGTTATTTTCGGTGTTAATACACAATTTATGTTTATATGTTTTTGTGCCACAAATTCTGCATGACTTATTTGATCAATTGAGCCCGGCTCCAAGAAGCAAACAGAGGTGGAGTTCAGTTTTAAAACAATCCGATTTGTTGCGAAAAACATAAACCTGTAATGATCTTCCAACCATCGTCATAACAATGTAGAAGAAATCGTTGTGCCGTCCCTTATCCTCGATTCGGCAGAAATGCCTCAGGCGGTCTTGCTCTTTCAGCTTACTTAGCACTGTTAGCTCCATTTTAAGGAAACCCACTTTTTCGTGTACACTTTCCACCTGAACTAATGGTTACTGATTTTTTTTTTTATTTATTTGGCCCACACATTTCCGATGAAAAATCATGGTAATGCTGGTACTAATAACAGCTATATTATTACTATAATTGTTTACAGCAACAACAACAATAATAACAATAACAGTAACGATAGTAAAAGCAATAATAACAATGAAAGTAATAATGATAGTAACAATTATAAAACGGGCCTGGAACGTGAAAATTGTTACAGAATGAACTAATGCTGCTGCTGCTTCCAATGCGTGTTTCTCGATTACAGGTATTTTGCATGCTAACAAGCCAGAGGGGTTTTTTTTTTTTTGCTTTTGGATTGAAGCAAAAAAATGGAAAACAGGAAAAAATTATCGAGTTGGAAAGTTTAAAAGCAAGTATATGAAGTAAGAAATTTTGTTCCCGTTCCGGCTTTACGGAGCACATGAAAAAACCCTTCGTCCCCTTGATTTAACCGCCACAGTATAAATTTGTTTGAAGCCAGTGATATATTTAATAAGGATATAAATTTGCTGCTCAGCTGAGTCATTAGAAACAGAAGAAAAACAAAGTGATAAAAAATAATGTGGAAAGATGGTACGATGAATATATTAGTATAAAACCATTAATTACTTTCATCATGTAAACTGGTACAATCCCAGCTGGGATCTCTGCTCATTTCTAGAGCAATTTTTACAGTGCTATGAGTCTGTTTTGAAAGTGGCTCTAATGGCATTTCCGTGTACTTTCGCTTCCCACAGAAAATGAAATAAGCAGAAAGTTTTGAATTTTGACTTAAATCTTCGTTCTTTTTTGCGTTTCCGTTTGGATTGCTTTTGCTTCTCGTCGTTTCGCAGAAATCAAAATTTTAATGTGAACTGCGTTTCGCGTGAAGAAGCAATGCCTGTACGGTACCTTCAATGCATATTTTTGATTATCCTTGGAGCAGACGTAGACAGCACCGAAGGCCCCCTCACCAAGTTTGCCGTCAATTCGCCATCCTTCTACGTCACTGCCAATTTCAAGTTGCACCAATTCGCCCATACCTCTCTTGTGCTTTTAAATCCGAATAACTGTCCGAAAGGATACGATTGCTGGCGAGTTACAAGCCGTTCAAGATTTGTGCCGCAAGCTTGTTAACCCACTGACCGACTGGACCTCGCGTCTGGATAACTTAGCAATAGGATGTTCAAATGTTCTGCATTCTTTTTATAACATTTTCTCTAACAGTAGATAGTTGCAGGCGAGTAATTTTTAAGATGTAAATTCCGTGTTGTGCAAAATATGCAGATTTACCAAGTGGAACCCGCGCACAGCTCTTCATCGTAAATTTCACACCAAAAATCCCAGACTGCCTGGGCTATCAGAATGAAAGTAGTGCTATGTTAGTGATTTTACTAGAATGCTTGCCCGGGTAGTTATGCTAATTCTTTCGATCCTAAACTGTTATGACTTGGGTCTTTCGGTGATTTTCAAAAAGTTTCGGTAAAAAAGCAAATTTTTTGGTGGGAAAAATGTGAAATTCCGTTCACTGTGTTCATCCCCAGCGCATGCTTTCCATTTTCAGAATTCCAGCACAAATAAATAATTTATTTCTTTCATGACTGTCACAAGAATCAGCTCTCAGTGCCTCTGGGATGCAGCCAAACGGTCAGCACATCCGTGGTGGTCATTTCTCTTCTGTCCCCATCCTAATTTAAATGAAAGTTCAGCTGTTGTCCATGTGCACTTGCCACATTTTTTCCTCGCTGCATTATTACTCATTCGAATAAAATTGCCAGAATTTCCCTTTCGTTGGCATGTCGCTGTATATTGGGATGCTGTAAAACGAGAGGATTTAGCGATTTTGCTACCCGCCCTCATTTTTGATGCGCGTTGTTGATCCGCTACGCATCCTTGATTTGACTCAGTCCCTCCGCCTCTCCTATCCTTACAGTCTTGCGGCTACGCGCTAGTACTGACATATGCTAATTTTTAATTAAAAGAAAAACATTTTTCATTCAGGAGCAAACAGTTCAGAGCAAAGGACAGTTTTGAGATTTCAGAACTTCGGTTGAGCGACGATGTTGTGCAGTTCGTTTACAGATTAGCCGATCCATAATACACTGATATAGGCAGATGAGAAGTGGTATTGAGGGAAAAAGTGAGGGGCAAGAGGTGTGGAGGAGGTAGAAAGAGGAATTAGCGCGACGAGAAAGCAAGTGAAATTTTTCTTTTCTAAAAATTTTTAGTACCAAACAAAAGTTTTTTTTAACCTACCAGAACTTTATATAAAATTTTATCCATTGTTTTATTAGCAAAAATGCACTGCGCAAATATTACCTTTATACGTGTACATGTGTGTGTGTATACACGTCTGTCTTTTTGTTTAAATACATCGATCCCGAGAGAGCAAATGCTGAGAAGCAGAAATTCTTATCATGCAACCTTTCTTGATTCCGGGACCAAATTCAGCAAAATTTTTAAAGCTAATTTAGATAAAATAACTTAATTCTTAAATCGATCTACACCGTGAACTCCGCCCTCAGGATCAAGCTGCGGCAAAAGTGGACCGAGTAAGAACTCGAAATCATGAGGATTTAATTTATCACTTACTGCGAACAAAATATTATGAAAAAAAATTTTTCTGTTAATTGTTTCTTACTGTGTGTTCCAGGCTCGAATTTAGGTAAATCAAGTTGTTGGACATGGGCATGGTTTTTCAGTAAGCTTGGCATGGATTGCTTCGATTAATTTAATGGACAAATGGTATTTTACGTGCAAAGTTTTTTATTTCATTTGATATGTGTGCTTCTCAGCAAAAATGGGACTTAGTTACTAATTGAAAGAATGTACCTCAGGTTCGAAAGGTCTGGCATAGCTGCGCAGTAACGTCATGAACAGGTAATTCCTATATCGATTCTCTTGGTTATCTTGGAGTTCTAAAGGATGGTGCACTGTTTTATGGTATACAAAAATTTTAGAAAATTTTGGGAGATTTTTGAAAATTTTTTCATTGAATAAACAGTAGTCTGAAGCTCCGGATGTGATAAAGTAATTTTTCAATCCGATTAGAGATTTGCAAAATCTTTACAAATCTGGCACGGAAAAACGGATTAAAATTCTGGTTTTCAAAAAACGTCCTAAAAAAGCATTGGTATTCACTCTTTAGTTATTGTACTGGTTTTTGGTATACCTGCTGTGCGTATATTAAATAAAATATTTATAAAATGTACTGTAGATTGTAAAGATTTTTGCAAGGGATTTGACAGGCTATTCAGGATGCGGATTAGCAGTGACATGTTCAGAAAGCCGGAAAAGCCGCAGCACAGTCTCCTTCTTTTCGCACCATTCATCTTTTGGCTATTCATAATTCTGTTCATTTTTAAAAACACTTTCCTTTGCTGTCAGCAGAAGGCAGAACTGCACAAACAGCGGAAAAAAATTTGCACAGCGCAAAAAAGTAGGGTCAAAAATGGAATTTAAAATGAGGTTCGCATAAATCCTGTTCTTCGATTTTTTTAAAAACTGAG